TTAGATGTTTCAACCGCGAGCGCTATGCAGGCGTGATTATTACCATATCATGGCCGTTCAATGGTAACCACTGCCACGCTTAGAATTTTCCAATATTTACACACCGGAATATTCAACATTTTCCAACGTGCCGCTAGAAAACTTGAATAAACAATACCTGTTTTGTTGCTGGGATACGTTTAATATATTTGCCTTTAATACACGCGAGCATGCGCACGTTTGTGCGAGCTGGCCGATTTTCGTGTGCGCGTTTAATGACGCTTTGTTTTGTGAATTAGCAACATGACATACATTGTCGTACGTCGTGATATCACAAATAGTAAATCTCTCTCTCACGCTATACATATACAATAGTATATCACTTGTTCCGAAAACGAAGCAACCGAAATTTTTCCTTTACTTTGTTTTATTGTATTATTTATAAAATTGGAAAAATAAAATGCTATAATCATTTTACTCCTGAATTATTGAAATCTGATTTTGGTAATGTATGAATAACATTCATAATCCATATTTAAATATAAAAATGTCATTTAAATATGTAAATTACACAATACACTTAAATTCAATTGTCGCTTTATTATTTTGATTTTAACATCATTTTGATTTTAAATATTTTACTGATAAAAATATTTAAAAATGCATATATAAAATCCTTCTTAGTGAAGTGGTAAATTTTACTTAAATTTTAAGTTAGAACAATAAATATTAGACAAAGGATGTCACATTGTCTTTAATTAATTGGTATCGTTAAATTAAATGTGAACATATAATACGCAGCTATTAAACTGCATCAAAAGTTTCACATGAAATATTTGAGATTGTAGTAAAATACAGCGCGTCGAATACAGTTCTCTCTACTAGATAAGTTATTGTATCGGAAAATCGCTTGGCCGTGCTCGTATCTTGTTAAAATATTTGAGAACCTTCGAGCTCTGCACAGACGAGTAAATACGAATCACTGTCTTTTTCTTCATAAGCCATCGGTGTGAGCAATTACGCGCCGCTGTGTAAGTACAGTACACATCAATCGCGAGGAAAAAAATCTTATTTTTTATTCATACGCGCGCAACACCGTGCGTCTAAAGACCATCTTTTCAGGCATAACGTTATTCAGGCATGTATCGTATATAAAAGACACTCGTGCACAAATCGCAATGTAATTTTAATTTTTCATCATTTCATTTCTCATATTATTGTATGTAATATTACGCGCATATTTATATGCTATTTTTCATATATTCCAATAACAAATTTTTCATATAAGAACATATATAAATATATATAATTATATACGAGAAATGTCCATATATGTTTGTATTAGTTTTTTCCTTCACAAAATTTCTGTTTGGTATAAGAAAAATAATAGTAATAATAATAAATAAAAACAATGTGAAAATTATCCTTTTAATTTTTTATGTTTATTCATTATTACTATTATTTTTCTTATACTAAACAGAAATTTTATGAAAGAAGAAATTTGTACATATATGAACATTTTTACATAATTATACATGTATTTACATATGTTTTTATATGAAAAACTTTTTATCGAGTATATTCTTATTTAAATTTTTTTAAATCTTATATAAATATTAAACTCTAATTATAATCTAATAGTAATAAGTAAAATTAACTTAGATATTCAAAAAATTAGAGCGTAATTAAATAATTAAATAACTTCAATGTAAAGTGTACAAAATGTTTTCGAGGTACTATTTGTAATATTACGTCGTAGAGCGTTAGTACGTGTAGTAGTGTGTGTGTGTGTGTGTGTGTGTGTGTGTGTGTGTGTGTGTGTATGTGTATTATACATGTATAATATAATTATTTAAAAGCACTCGTGGTAACGCGGACACTATTCTGTACCATTCAATTAGTCAAATAAATAGAATTACGTCAATACGCTTCTGGATACGTCGCTGGAAGCGATGCTTGACAATAATTAAGGGTAAATCTTATTAATGCAATAATATACGTTGCTTTAGAATTGTAAGAATATCGTGTAAAAAATTATTCGCGCAAGAAATAACAAGATCTTGTCGGTATTGCCATTGCTTCGATGTATTCAAGTCATCGTACAGCGTTCTTCACCGTCGCTTACGTTCAGCGACGATTGCGCGAGCGCACGCGAACGGAAGAGAAATCGAAGGAGAAAGGATGAGCGATCGTCTGGGGCCAGGACACGGTACACCCTCGAGGCGGACTTGCCCGAGTCATTTTTCACCGCGAGTCCGAGTCGCGAAAGCAGCCGTGCCTCTCGGGAAAATATTTCGCGAAATTAAAGAACTACCCACGGATATACCTTTCGTATACTTGCCGCAACTAAAAGGGATGAAGCGAAAGCGGGGGTGGTTGCAACGGGTGAAGAGGAGAGGACGAGAGGAGAGGAAGGGCGAGGGTGCTAAGGAAAGAGTCCAAGTAAAAAAAGGGTGGGTATACACAGGTATCGTCTCGTGCAACCGACTGACGTAAACGAAAATAAAGAGTTGCCGCCGAGTTCTGATTTCCTCTCGCCGCTTTCAACCGGCAAGCCGGTTGGCCGTGGCACGTCCAAAGTAGGAAACACAACAGTGGACGAAACGAAAACGAAAAAAGGGAATGGGTACGGAAGTGTTCCGCCGTTGGTGGTGGTGTTGTGGCGATGGTGGATGCGAGGAAAAGGAGAATGGAGAAGGAATAAGAGAATTCCGTGGCGTTTATTCAGACGCGCCCGGCGAGATTACACAGCGACAGGCGCAATTATATCGTTACCACGAAACGGATCGTTTGTAAAAGCGAAACGTGCCGTTCCGTGCCGCGCCGCGCCGTGCAGCGACGCCACTGCGCGCGTTTGCGGCGATTACATTTCGGTCATACACGAGCTTGAGTAATTGCAACCGACGACGGCTCACGGGCGGGATGAAGGAGGACGATGCGCTTCCATTAAGCGCACTCATAGGACTCGTCATGCGTACATAATAGGCGTATATGCACCGATATCACTGAACACTCCCCTACAGAGAAAAGAAGAAGAAAAACGAAGCGTATATGCATACAGGGGTGCACGCGATTACGCGCACCCTGCACACATCTTCTCTATCAATCCCGAGAGCCTCTTGTACCTCCATCTTGAACACACAATTTACAACCGCCCTATCCTCCCACCCTTCATCGTCCGCGCTTCAGCGCCGCTTTCTTCGTTCGCTCTGGTACATCCCGGCACCTTCTTTTCCGGGTTTCTCTCTCGATGGACGTAACCACCGCTTTTCCGCTCCCGTCTTTATCCTCTTTCGCGTCCTCGTTCTTGAGTCGCTCTCTGGAAAACGTTTTCTCTTTTACCTGTTCATCGTTCCTCGTGACTAGAACATCTCCGCCTGTCCGGCGCATACGGGACACGTGGTAGATACGCGACACACATCGTCTATGGACTGAGTGGATGGCGTAGAGACGGATGTTGCGTGTTTCAAAACGGCGTCAAGTATATTACCATTTTGGCGTAACAATGAAATCCTTTTTTCGCTTTTTCTTTCTAATTCTCTTCCGCTCTCTTTCTCTTTCCTTAACTCGCTCTTTCACTTTCTCCCTCCTTTTCTCTCTGTCTTTCTTTTTATGTTATGAGCGTAGTTGGTACGCTTCGAGTACATTGTCGGTAGCACTTGGGTGAAACGCGTTGATAGCTTCCGCGAGGAGGATGGGAAAGACGATGGTTGAGAAGATGTTAGGAGAAAGAAAGAAGAGATGTGGCGTAGAGGAAGGCGGAAAACTCGCAACGGATATCTATAAGTAAAATCGCGTGCGACACCAGAGAGATTTTTATCCTTTTTTTTTTATACGAGGAATATGAAGAAATGTTATATATTTTTTTAATGAGATATCTTGGTAGAGTCACGATGCGACTTACAAAACGATAGGCGTGTTTCAAAGTGCACTTGCTATATTTTCCGAATATTGGATCAGATAAAAGGATTGTGTGCTTTTGTAGGAAATGGTACAAGACAGATGAAGCCGTAACTAGGTCACACACATTATTATTCTCCTTGATTTGATTCTTAAGCATGATAGTTTTATAACTTGGCACTTGCAGCTTTGATATATTTTTAAATACTATCTAGTTTCTAAAAGAAATTTTAAACAGAAACTTTCATTGCTACGTAGTTTTTATTTTTTTTTTATACTAATTGTATGTATAAAGGAAAAATGTATATTTTACAGAAAAAATAACTATAATTATATAACTTCAAATGAAGTTTTAGCATTAACTTTTTGTTTTAAGATTAAATAAAATTAATTAAAACTTTTATTAAAATGTAATTTTTTTCTTTGTTTTTTATCGGAAATTTACAATAAAAATCTGTTTCACAACGCGATATAATAAAATATTAACTCCTATAACGCAATCTGCAACAGGCTGGAATGGTACAAAGTACCTACCTAGCATCTGTTATCACTCTGAATATGATGTGCTGCGGGAAAGCTGGATGCGGAATGTGCATCTCGAAAATTTAATTCTGTATATATACTGAAACATGTCTTCATATGTCTCCAAAGCTTTACAAATATATGATTATTTTTATTTTCAATTGGAGAAACTGTTTCAAATTAAACTTTAAAAATCACTCTTAATTATTCTTATAATAATTCCAGACACTCTTAATTATTCTTATAATAATTTCCAGATAACAATTAATAAAGTGTAATTCAAAATAACGACAGTTATTAAAGTTAATATATTCAAAATGTGGAGGAAGTATTTTAAAATAAAATTTTTCTAGAATCGTTTAAAAACTAGTTTTAAAATGTTGGTACATTGTTGGTAGTAGAAGCCAATTAAAAGAAAGCCAATTAGAAATTCTATTATTTTAAAATAACATTCCTACTTTTGTATTTTTTTCAATATATTGCTCGTTTTTACTTTTTACAATCACTCGTTTGAATTGCCAACACAAGTTAATTTATATGCAAAGTTGAGTAATCGGAGTGGATTATTTAATATCTCTATTATTCAATTTATATTGCAGGTAGCGTGGCTACGAGTCGATACGCAGACGATTCTGACGATAGCGAGTCACGTTATTACGAAGAATCATCGGATCGCTGTAACACATAGTGGCCATCGAACGTGGTCTCTGCATATAAAAGAAACGCGCAAGACCGACAGTGGTTGGTACATGTGCCAGGTTAATACTGACCCGATGTCCAGCATCACTGGATTTCTCGAAGTTGTTGGTAAAGATCAAAATCTTTTCTAATTTTCCTCGAAAGAATCCTCTTTTTATTTTATTATGTTGTTGTTTGTTATTTTGTTGTTTATATTTACAAAATAAACGTTAATAATAGGTAGAAGAAAAATTAATGTTAGAGACAAAGAGGAATAATTAAATATAATATTGTATAAAATTTGCATAACACGAGATAAAAAAAATAATAGCTAAAATATATAAATGATTTAAATATATTTAGCGTAATGCTATTCATTTCTCTTTATAAATGTTATTATAAAGAAATCCAGAAAGATTTATTTTTTACTTTATCCATTGATAATTTTTTTACTAAATAAAACGAACAGTAGATTAAAAAGTCATTTTTACTGAATGGTTCATTTAATATTTTATAAAATATAATTACAATAATAAAAGTATTCTGATCAAAGGAAGGAAGTACAAAGAATATTATAGTGGATAAACTAAATTATTACAACATAAAAAACTTTTAAAATTATATATTGATAAAGATATTAATTAAAAAATCATTAAGTCATTTTGAAATAAAGATAATTAATTTTTTAAATAATATTTATTATACAATATTTATTATACAATAAAATTAATTTATTAGCTAAATTAAGGTATTAGAAGAAGAAAACGCGAGATTTCTGTCAAATTTAAATATAATATATATCATTAGAGAAGGATATTATTTGCCATGTATAAAAATTATACATAAATTACACAAATTATATTATATTACGTAACATTAATTTTTATTTGCATTGCTAAATTCAAACATTTTATTGTCATATTAAACAAATGACCAATTATAATTGTTACAAGGTTTGTGCAGCTGAACATTTCTATATCTGTCGCCGAGAACATTGTGTCACGTACACTGAATGAATATAATATCATGCGCAATTTTATTATGATCTGTTTGAAAAATTACAAATAATTTTCATATCGCAGTCTATACTTCATACAGATTATTGTGTCACATCTGACACATCCAGTGATAACTGGTGCAATCTCGGTGATGAGTAACAATGAGATCCAACGATTTCGAATGAATCTTGCGTGATATATCCATTTTTTATCTAAAATAAGGGATAAAATTTTATTTCTAAAAATTCTATCATTTATTTGTAATTATTTAAATGCATTAATCTGATGCATGTAAAAGTATTATTGAAATGTTCGTCGCACATTACCAATCTTTTTTCGCCTACATTACCCTTTTTACTTTTTATGCATATTTGATGAAACCTTTTTTCTACAATTTTAATTGTTAACATTAATATAAAATTTTAATCTAGTAAAATGCATAGATATGTAAAAAGCATGGATATATGTAGATTTCATATGTGCATACTTATTTTCTGACTTTAAATAATAACTGCTATCTGATATTATATAATTATAGAAATATAATTGTAGTGCATCCTTAAATGTTACATAGATAATAACATTTCTGTTATATTTAAGTTTACATAATCAAAGCTAAATATGTTTATTCTAATCAGATTAATAATTTTAAATAATTTTAAATAATTATCATTTGTTAAATAATTTAAGGCATGAGTATGTGAGTGCATGTACGTGTGAAACTTATTTTGAATCAAAATAAGATCGCCATATATTGCGATATACATAACTTGAAGCCGGCATTAAACTTATTGCGCGCAATTTCCTATTTTCATAACGCTTAAGAGGCGGAAAATTGAGTGGGGAATGAGAATCTTGGAATGATTTAAGAGGACCCGCTGCCGACAAATATTTGCGAGCAAATCGTACGTTCGAGATTGCTCGTGAATTTGTAACCCGCGCCATCCAGAAAGTCCGGGATTCTTGACTAGTCCTTGCGAAACTCGACTAAGCACAGGCAGATTCAGCGTTTTCCATGTATACGTAACTCGCGATTGTCCCGCGGAACACGTCCTTTGCTGGCAGGGCGCATCCTTCTTCCCGTGACTATGCATCAACTGATCCTTCCTCGAAACTTTCTTGGCACTTGGTACCACCGTTCCTGTTACCGCCAACTTGTCAAACTTCGCCAACTACGGTCGTCTTAGCGGACACCGTAGTACCTCTAGAGAAAGCCGTGATTGCTACTACAAGACACCGATATTCAATCCTTGATTATTTGTTTCGCGGCTTCCCGGAGAACATCATGTTCAACATTATAATATCCGTAAGATCGATTTTCGGTTTAATTAACTAGTTTTCTTTGGAGAGAAATTTATTATTTTAGCTAGTTTGAAAATAAATGTACAATTGTGGTTTGGCAATTAAATTTAGATTGTGTGTTAAATTTAAATTGTATTATTTTTATAGTGACTTTGATTTTTACTTAGTTAAATAATTATAATTATTAAATCATTATAATAATTTGCTTTTATTTAATTAAATATTAAGTATAATAATGTTTGCTAATAAAATAGTAAAATCATTATTTATTATTGTTTTGCAAAAATGTTTTTTGAAACAGATTTGTTCTTAAAGTTTCTAAAATTTTTCCGTCATTATCACATTTGGATCGTGATTTTTATTAGACTAGATTTATCTTATTTTCTTTAAGTTAATGAACGTATCTTTTCCACCCTATCAACTATCGATTAACTTGATGAGGGTCTGACACAATTCTTGATCTCTATAAAACTCATTGGTGGGCTCTATCGCGCTCTTGCGCAATAACATTCGAGAGATGAATATCAGACTGCCGGAAATTACCAAATAAATGCTGACATTCTATACTCTTGCGGAAAGCTAATGCATCTCCATAAATACCTCAGCTAAGCTTACTGATTTATATCTCTTAACAAGCTCGCAGATAGTATCCCATTGATACATTGCAAAGCTCACGTTAACTAGAAGTTAAGTGAGACGAGCGAATATTACAGCTAAGTATCTATTTTCAAGGAAAATCATTTACTTCATTTAACAATAAATGAAGATTTCGTGATAAAGAATAATAAAATAATATAATAATTATTCTTGACAAGAAAATAGATTTAGTTAAAGTTTTTTAAAATCTATTTGACATCTTTCATACTTTTATATGTGCAACAAATATTGCATTTACAACATTGCATTTACATAAATAAAAATTTAATGCTTTAAAATGCAATAGTTAATAATAAAAATTTTGTATTTATAAAAAATTGATTAACGCTAATAGACAATATTAAAATTTTATATTATTTTTTTATTATTTTTCTATTGATTGCGGTCTATTCGGCCGTCCTGAAATACAGATGCACATGCATAAGCGCTTTATGGTTTTTCTGTAACAATGGTTTTTCTGTAACAATAAAAACAATAAATTTAAAACAAGATTGCGTTTACTATAAAATTCTAAACAATTATTTTGTTGATAAATGATAAAACAGCTAAACTGATTAAAGATTTCACACCTTAGCGAGCTCCTTCGGGTGGTTGGTTTGTCAAGATAGAGATGCCTCCCCGCGTTACCCGCCTCGGCCTTTCGCGATCGGCCGGATTTGTGGCGGCGGGATGCAAATATATGTAAAATACGTATCCCCGCGCCGAAACCTTCGAGGGCGATTGTACTCTTGGCGGGCTATTAGACACCTTCCCGGCAACTCGTGCTCCTCGTTCTAATAACCGGTCGGCCTCCTCACGCCGCAAACCGCTCAGGCCACCATGCCGTAGAATCCCGTATAAGCGTATAGTTTAACTTCACCACAACCCCTCGTTAAGATTCTTCTTTATCGGCTCGTCCTATCGTCGACCATATCGCCAAGAATAAGAGAGAAAAGAAAAGAGCCGGCTATTCTGCTTTATCTTGCTTTATCGGATGATATGCGGACATCGCATTCCTTGGTAGCTTGCGTCGCTCGGGCAGGAAGGAACGACAAAATGGCACTGACGCAAAATCATTATAATATAAACGAGTTTTACGAAACGTAATTACAATATATTGATTAATTTTACGTCTTTTGTGCTTATTAATTTATAAAGCAATAATACTTTTCATATAATTTTGGAGTATGCTTTGCATTAATTGGAATATAATAGTAAATTATTGGTTTTCGTTTAATAATAACCGCTGCTGTTCTCATTAAGTATAAAATAAAGGAGCAGGAAAAATACGGGAATCAGTTTATTCCCTTCTCTTGCATTATCGAACTGCCAATCAGAGTTTTGTTTTAATTTATATTTAGAAAAGGTTAAGCTGCAACCAAATTGTATGTGTATATGACTTATTACAATCTCTATTAAAAATATTTTAATATACTTATATCTATGTTATTTGCTGAAATTGTTTCTTTAATGAAAAGTTTCTTTTAATTATGTAAAATAGTTTTAATAAATCGCTTTGAGCAAAGTTATAATATTAATTTACATTAGAAAAATAACTATATTCTAATAACAGTAATAACCCTAATTCTTTATGCCGGCAAACTCGCACAAGCACTTTGCATGCACTTTGTACTAAATATTGCTTCGTTTATACACTATTGCGATAATCAGCTTTGAGTAATCAAACTTGTTGGTAGAGTTCAATCTCTCCGAACTTTTTTAAAAATATAAAAATAGGGAAATGCTGAAATATGGAAATAGTAAATATTGCATATAGATTCGTTGCGTCGTTCAAAATATTGACTTGCAGAAATTTTATCAGTCAGTTTGTTTTTATTTTGCGTGAATTCGATTACTGAATTGCGTATTGCATTTGGTGTACGAGTCTTCGTTATATTGCAATGATATTTTTCTTATTAATAACCACTTTTAATCCATTTTTAAATTTTCAATTTATGGACGTTAATATGTAGTATCATAATCTTTGCTTTCTCGATATATGTGGGTGCATATTTATAAACCTAAAGCTCAAGCTTATCGCTTATCAACTCTCATTAAATTTCTTGTTTATCGTGAAGTGAAATTACCGATTACTTGGTCAATTTACCTTGGTGTAATGTTACATATTCCAACTTTCGTGACCAATTGGTTGATTGTATATTTTCCCAATGTAAGCATACGAGAATGCGTAGAGCATTCGTGAATAACATGCAAATGTAGCTATTTGATTTATATCAGAATAATGATTGAATATAAGTGCATATTGTTATTTTTCCATTATATTTACACAAAAAATAAATCTTTCATTTTATCAAAAAGAGATAAAAATATTTTCCCTCTATTTTCTAAATTTAGATTATCTGTAATCGAAAAAACTTTAATTTTCTTTGTGATTAATATTTAAAATAAATGTCAATATTTGGCAATTAATTAGTTCTGTGTTGTGTAGATTCAACACAATGACATAAAAGAAAGAGAGAAGAGATATGTACATATATTTCTCCAAATAAAATAGTATAATTTTTTAAATATATTTTTCAAATTTTTTTTACATGAAAGGTGTCGAGAAAGGATATCAATTATCGTATTATACAATTGATTAGAGAGATGATAGAAAAAAAATTTAATATCACGTTACTTGAAATGATCTCAGATGGCAAAGAGTTGATAGTTTTCAATGCACCTTTGCGTAACTCAACCTTCGGAGATCAGCGCGTATGCATCAATTTAGTATCACGTTGGTCTAAACGCTGGCTCGCTCTCGACCGACCGAACTTTTCAAACGTTATCGGAACGTCGCAAAATATAGCGGCCATTCAAAAGGACACTCGAAGATATCGGCGGTATGAAACGTGGTGTGTACAGTCCACGCGAATAAAACGGGATCCCCGTGAAAGCAAACAAAAACAACGGCGCGCGTCGGTGCGCGGGCACGCGTGAAATAATAAATTCGACCCAATTGTTTTCCCGTATCAATAAATATACTATCTGCGGATACGGCGCTTTTTTTCGCCCCGTTTGCGCCCAACGCAGTCGGGGCAAAGCGCGAAATGAATTGCACGCCGGGCCCGGTGATATCTCTGTGACCTGTGACGGCGCGGGCATAGCGACGCCGGCGTGGAATTGCTTTTTGCTCGATGCTCGATGCCCGCTTAATTCTTTGGAAGAATTCATTGCCGTACGGTTGCCTCGGTATTTGACTGTTCTGCCGTGATCTGGCGTGTCGTCAGAGAAAGATCCTCATTTCAGCTTTCTCTTTGTCGAATCACACACAAACAGTATTGCGAAAATACTTTAGCTAACTGCGATTTTGCGCATCGGTCTTTTTGTACCTCGAGACGTTTATTGAATGTTTCAACGTACAAAGTGAATTTAACGAATCTATTTAACGACGAAATTAAAACGATACTTGTCAAAGAACATATTATTGTTAAAATGATTGGGAAATTATCTAGACTCTTGTGCGAGTGAAAGAGCGATCGCTGAATAATGTGGTGTGTTGTCACTACCATTTTCATTATAATTTATATTAAAAGAATATTATTTGTCGATAATCGTGAAAAGGAATGTTTTTTTTTTTATTTTTAATGTGCTTCAGATTTGCACTGTTATGCAATCACAGCTTTCGGTCTGTCTCCCCGTCTCGTTAGCACACGAAAGCACCATTCGCGCTATTCCGGTAGCTTTTTCGCGTCCGTGAAAACTTCGTCCTGGAACCTCTTTGCCTTCCGAACACGTCTTTCGTAACTCACCAGGGGGACGCGACGTCGGTCTCTGAGAGAGGACTATTCACGAAGGTAGTCTCTTTCGTGACCGGGAAAGAACTTAGTCCGCGTAAGCCGTGAGAAACTATTCCCCGGCCACTCCGTCCTTCCGGTGTACAAACTGCATGTACGCTAGCCATATTTGGCTCTATTCCGTTTTGAAAGCAACTCAATAACGAAATTCTTTGTATTGTTGCCGCGAAAAATGTATCGCGCTGATAGCCGCTTCGCGCGGTGAAGATTATTTTCGTGAGAAGTTGTGCGAGTCGATCATCGTAAAGCGCTGATCTTATAATAAACGTTGTTCTATACTCTATTGAAAAGGTCGGTCCCATGTGCATGCACAAATAATCTTTGTGTTGCTGACGCCAGCAAAAATTTTCGCAAGCTGTCAATTCGCCTGAATAGGTCAGTGTAAAATAGATATGAGAATAAAAGAGGATTTAAAAGAGTTCTCAGTATTAAATTTGTTATAACTTAATATGTAACATTAATAAAAATGATAGATATATCTTAACATGACAAACGTATGTTTATGCCTATAAGCATAGAATAAAATATTTCATTACTAGAATGAAAATATGGAATTTTATAAAGATTAAACATAATATAAAATTTATATGCGAAACTTAAAATAATATACATTGATAATTGGATTGAGAATTTTATATTTTGCATAATAAACATAATAAAAATTTTATAAAAAAAGAGGAAATAAGTTTTTAATTAATATATAATATGCTCATTTATTCTTGAATATATAATTATATCAATTGTATCTTTTTATAATAACAATATTTTTTTTTTAAAAGAAAAAGGAAGAAATAAAACGCGCAAAAATATATATTTAAATTATTAAATAACAATTCAATTAATTATTTAAATTAATGCAACTCGAGAATATAGTTCTGGCATTACTGATAATTTCCACAGCAGATAAAGATATAATTAAAATTACATTTTTTTATGAAGCTCTCTTTACTGAAGTCCATTTCGAATACAATAATGCAATACTTTTATATTTCAATCCGTTTGATAAATGGATTTTAAGACAAATGGATAAATAATGTTCGTTCAATTGTTTTACAAATACAAAAAGTGTAGTCGCAAGAGGAATGAGATTCCTACGAATTTTTGTCTGTATTGAGGCAAATGGTTTCTCTCTGGAATATTTTGCCACGTTTTTCAAAGCAAGAGAGAAAATTTCGCGACTCTAGTCAGCTGCTTTATCTTCCATACATATATTTTTCTATGTCTTATATTATATTTTTTGTAGCTTAAACTTTAGAAAACTTCCGTGTAAAATGATTGAATAATATCGTTAAATTGTTCAAATCGATTGAAATATAAGAATTTTAATGTGCATAGAAAGAGGTAAATAAATCAACATACATAGATTTGCGTTTAACTTTGATACTTGGATGATTTATTTATTCAGATTAGAGAGATAGACGGTAACTCTAAACTACCAGTATATCGTCTAAGCTCAAAACAATCCGCCGTATCGTATTCAACTGTCATTTACTAAACTCGGATAAAGCGATATGATGGATTTACTTTTGCGTGATATATATTGGTTGCTTATGCAGTTCCTTTCGAGTATAATCCACTTATACCATTCTCTTAGTTCAAATCCTGTTTGTATTATTCGTACAAGCATTAATTTATTGGTAGAACATAACTTCTGTACATTCCATAAAATTTATAAAAGCAACATATACAGATGTCGTAGATAAAATTAAACTGATATGTAAAAATCAAATAAAATGATATTTTTGAAATGGGCATATAGCTATTTAAATTATATTATAAATAATTACGAATAAATTTAAAATTATACCATATGAAAATTTAATTTATAATAATTTTTCATGTCTGCGTGATGAATAAATTTTGTCAAGATATGATCCAATAGTCTGCATTCTCGCGCTCGAAGACGGGTAGGTGCCATAAAAAATAGATTCGCTCCAATACAACGCGCGTCCTTATATAATACAACACCCCCGTCGAGCTTCCGGTTGTGATCTACGACAAAAGCGACGTGGGTTACGATCCGTTAAAGTCACGCGCCGTAACCGACGCATCTCGCTTACTCGCAGAAAAAAAAAGAAATCGTTTCTTCAATGGAACAAAAAGGTTTCTCCCGTACGATAGAACGGAAGCAGAGGGGGTGGACGCGGGTCGGACATGGTCCGGAAAGGGCTGCGAAAATTCGAGCGAATGCGAAGTCGTCCGGGCGAATCGAGATTTTACGAGCGAATCCGCCATCCGCGAGCGAATGGGGCGCGAATCCCAGGATGCGTCTATGCGACGCGTGCTCCCGCGGTGTGTGCGGTATATGCACGCGGGGATATTGCGACGGGCGGTGGTGAAGCACGATCAGCCATCGCGAGATAAGCCATCTATCTGGTTCGCGTGAATGATCATCGCGCACTGTCGCGCGCGTTGGTACTCGCGCGCACGCGGTCTCTCTGGGACGTTTCTAGTCGCAATGTGGTCATTGTTTCAGTGCCGCCGGATATCCTGGACTATCCCACCAGCACGGACATGGTGGTGCGAGAGGGTAGCAACGTGACGCTACGGTGCGCGGCGACAGGAACACCGGAGCCGACGGTCACGTGGCGTCGTGAAGCGGGCGGCACGATCAGCTTGTCGAATTGGCACGGTACGTATCTTCTACGTATTGCTGTTGATATTACTACTACTACTATTACTACTACTACTACTACTACTACTACTACTACTACTACTACTACTACTACTACTACTACTACTACTACTACTACTACTACTACTACTACTACTACTACTACTACTACTACTACTACTACTACTACTACTACTACTACTACTACTACTACTACTACTACTACTACTACTACTACTACTACTACTACTACTACTACTACTACTACTACTACTACTACTACTACTACTACTACTACTACTACTACTACTACTACTACTACTACTACTACTACTACTACTACTACTACTACTACTACTACTACTACTACTACTACTACTACTACTACTACTACTACTACTACTACTACTACTACTACTACTACTACTACTACTACTACTACTACTACTACTACTACTACTACTACTACTACTACTATTACTACTACTGCTATTACTAATACTATTGCCACACTGTGCACCGCTTCGTTGGATCTCGATTGTCGCGTATTCCATCACGCAACAAATGCCGGTCGCAAACTCCAGATAGAATCATGTTCCTCTCGCTAGGTCTCTATGCCTCCTTTCAACCCCGTCGTCATCGTTGTCTCGCGTTGTTTCGCGAATATTGAACGTAACCCGCTGCTCGTAGAACAGCTCCGCTACTAGCGAGGCTTTTTCTCACTCTCGCTCTAAAACAGAGTGACAGAAAGCCCGTCGCCTCGTTTCGCGCTGATTGAGCGAGACGTTTATTGTGCTCACGGATCGTATCAATGAATGAGTTTTGATGGACGGCACTGAACCGATACGGATGCGCCTTTTGTCGAATTCATTGTTTGATGAACACGTTTGATAATCGGATGAATTATTACAAATGAATTAAATAAAGTAAGTGAAAGTAAGAATTAAATAATATAACTACATTTGCACTTGATTTATTTAAAGAATGAATTTTTCTAGTCTTTTTCTATATATTAAAATAAAAATCAATAACTAAGAGAAATTATAAATGACGAATCTGTGCAAAAAAATAATATACAAATTATTTCATTCTTTAATCAAATTTTCACTATATATATTAATTTATTTATATAATATATATATTTTTATTTATTCTAATAATATAACCTTTAATTTTCAATTGACATTTTTTTATTGCATTGACAATATAATACTTTCAACAGTAATTTTTACTTCCTTACTATTTTTTTGTCTGTTACAGTCTCTCACTGACGAGAGAATTTAACGATTCGTTACACAAAATGGTTTCTTTCCTGATGTTATTATCAGCAAAGTGCCGCTGGCGTAATGTCCATCGAAATAAAATTGCTGAACATTTATAATATAAACTCATTTACTTAACCCATTCGGCGAGAAATTAATTTTGTTTACAATTCCGAACAAATTTCTGTCGTTATGCCATCTTGGGTAAAGTCTAGCAACAACTAGTAATCAACACGTAATTTAATTTCTTAATTGTTGTAAAAACGAATGTTATACACAAGTATTCGCGATAGGACATTTTAGCGAGAGCTCTTTCCATTAGTACATGATAATTCTTTATCGGAGATACAGTTTGATTGATACAATTTAATATTGGAAGAAACTGTTATTACGAAAACATAATTTGCATGTTTATGAATTTGTTTATTTTCACGTTTAAAATATTTTTATTTAATTGTATATTTTGAACGGTTCTGTAATTGCCATATATATGACACGTTTAAAAAGATGTTAATTGGTTATTTCATTTTATATAAAATTTAAGTGAAACACGATAATATTCTAATTTAAATTTAACTCAAATACTTTTGTTCTTCAAATTCAATAATATCTCGCAAGATTCACTGTTCTCACAACTCAATCACTTACGTGTCTTTGGTTGCCAGCTTTATTCAACAGCATCCCTGTTTTTCGCGTCACCCATGTCAAGGTTGTTTAGACCTTTTGCTGACTAATTGCACAAGCAAGTGTCGGAGACATTTTCGATTGTATGTCAGACAGGTAGTTAAAGTGCTGTTTTTAGTCTCTTTCCCTTATACAATTCCTTTTAGATTCTTCTCTTTCCCTTCATTCTTTTCACTCTATGTCTTTTCATCCCTATTCGATATTAAATTTCATACTTGGAAAGATTAATGTACGAATTGATATATAATACATTCGTAAAGTGCTTTTGTCTTGAGATTGTGTGAGATTATGAGAATCAGAAATATGAAGAAATGAAGGACATTTGGGGTCACAAAATATCGATGACGGCCGCACTTTCCATGATTTATTCACTGGACGAAACTTTCATCTTTCGGGATCGGTTTTAGAGAATCATTTTAAGTATTTTGTCGCGTCTCGTTATCCCCCTATTCGTCCCTTCGTCTCGTGTCGGTCTTGCGGAAAGATTCAGTCGCGATTCCATTAAACGATAAGTACCGGAAAATAGAGTATTCCATCCAGCGTTGCTGGGCGCTATCATTCTTACAATTTTCGCAATTGAAATCTGTGCACTCCGTTTGACTTTCAATAGTAACTGGAAAGACGAAAAGAGTGTCCTGCGTTCTTTTATTCTTATATGATAATCCATATTGAAAGATTTTGTAAAAGATTAAAACGTGAATTTACCTCAAAAGCCTCAACAGGTGCGTGATTGAAAACACCTTTTACGTCGAAATCTATAAGTGTTAAGCACACATTTTGCAATATTTCAATATTAAAAGCGAATAGAATGAAAAACGAATTGAGCATAAATAGAATAATTTATATTTTTCAGTAAATGTAACAACTAATGAAAAAAAAAAATTTTATGAAATTGTTAAAGAACAATAAGAGTATATTTCACATATGCAAAAATATTTTTTGTGTATACATTTATATTTCCATTTTTATAAATTTTATAAAGATTTTATTAAAATTATTTATATATTTTATCATTTCAGTGTTTGTATGCATTATATATACTTAGAAGTTTAAAATCTTATATCTGAATGTAAATTATGAAGTCTTCATTAAGTCTTTTCATAATAATATAGTATATAGGTTGTTGAACTGTAAAGAAACTGCATAAATTACATGATAATCAATCTCGAAATGTATGTGCTAGATTGTCAATTTAACTTCATTGCATACTCACGACGCGAAACTAATTGTAATTTCAATGTACAAATCGATTAGCACGATTAATTATATAATATCGAAATTAAGGAAATACACATTTTAATTAAACTTGAAATCAATTGTTTCGCAATATTAAGCTAGTCGACCGTATTGCAACGAGCAAAACAGCAAATTATTGGAAAATATCAGAGAGCAAATATTAATTTACAACATATGAAATTACAGCTGACATAATGAGTGCTACTTTGTCTACTTTTGCGTATTAATATTTATGTTACGTCCCATTTAGTGCAATTTGCAGTCTAACGAAGTTATGTCACTCAGCAGAGAATCAATATTCAATTTTTTTTCAGTCGTTGTGTGTGTATTTCGAAATCTTTTAATTGCATTTTCACGCATAAAAGAATATATGTGGTGCGAGCTACCTAAATTACGCATTTGAATATTTTGCAAAATGAGAAAGTTTAAACGTGTTTCATATTTCATGTTTTCGTCACTTGCTTGCACTTAATTATCGTACATACGCTTGTTGGTTATACTACATGCTATGTACAATGTGTATGTTGTAAAGGTATGTCAAGAAAATGAGAAGAAAATGTACGAATAACTTAAATTACTAATTATTTGTAAAAATTAATATAAATTGGGTAAAAATAATAAGTATAGAAAAACTTTCTGGTTTTAAAAAGGAACCTTTGTACAAAGAATTTTAAGTCATAAAAGTTTGCCCTCTTTGACGTTTAAAATTGTTATTACTCCATAAAAATGAATGTATTATCTCCTCGCTTAATACACTAATGAATCTTTAAAGATCTTATATATTTCTTTTACAAATCACACGCAGATATAACTATGATATCGATTTATATAAATTTGAAATTTTTTTCAATTTTTGAATAATATGTTTGAACGAATATGTATACCTACATGTTTTTTTTTTTAAATTTAAATAAAAAACTGTTTTTTCTCTCTTTATATAATCTCAAAAAAATAAAAAATAAAAAAATTTTTTAATACTTTTATTAGAATAACTTATGACTTTTATTATTTCTTTATTTTCTTGCTATTTTAAAAATTTTTATTTTAAAAATTATACCATGATATTACTCAACTCAAATCATAATTTAAAATAGAAAATGTTCGTAAAACGGAATGATTGATTTTAGGATTTATAATCACAAATGTACGTATCGCAAAAATGCGCTCGTGATTTGGGTTGTTTCGTTAAGAATTAATGATGCGGCATTAATGCGCGCAATTGGTCAGATCGTGTCATAGGTGCGTTCCACCGAGCGATGAGTGAAGCGTACGTAATAATGCGTCGCAACCCGCGTTCATATGAATTTGTATGCTTGCATCTACATATGTAAACTATTGCAGCGGGGAGTATCGTGGGCCCGGAGCTGGAAATAACACGAATCACACGTCTGCATATGGGACCGTATCTCTGCATAGCATCTAACGGGGTGCCACCGACAGTCAGCAAGCGGATTCTCCTCACTGTTCACTGTACGTAATTTCGCTGCCTGATCCTAGATTCCATTTTATAGCCGACATTAAAGAACACTTTCATTCACGCGGTAATGTGAAACATGTTGAAATACATAAAGTGTATAAATGGTTTTTCCGTCGCGATCGAGAGAAATATAATATAATTAAATATAATATAATTAAATGTGTTTCCGTTTTTCAAGGCGGGGAAAAAGTATTACCGCATGTAAAAATTACTTAATCTCCCTGATAGAGAACGAGGATTAATTATAATTTATTTATAATCATCGTGAATTAATCTTTTTGGATAAAAATATTGCAGAATACGTACACGTTATGTTGTTAGAATTCCCAAGTACAAAAGTTTTAATTTAATCGAAGCTCTGACTGTCCAGTTTTCGTCCTTTGCTTTTTACGCATAATTACGAAAATGCATGCGAATGATATTTTATGCAGTCCTCTTCTGTCGTGGTAGTAAAAATTCTTTCTTATGCGGGCGTCGCGCGCTTGTCGCAAAATATAATTTAAATTGTCGTACTCGCGTAATGACGCCTCTCGGGGTAGGCATGGTGAATAGCTGATCCCGAGGGCCATTGTTCCTGAAAACGGAGTTAAATCTTTCCTGCCGCTGGCTACGTAATTTTCCTATGTAACGAGTCACTTACCGTGACGACAAGTGACATTTCTGGATTGATTAAAAAAATAAGAGAGCCCTATTTCGAGGGAACATGCCTTAAAAATGAACAGCGCAGCTTTCACATCAAACGTCAAATGTTGTACCTTATGACGAGTTTGCAAAGCTTGGTGAATGTTTTATTAAATTTTGTGCTGCATTTTTACAGTTTCATTATTTTCAATATTAAATATGCTGCATCTATCAAATTTAATTAAAAATATTCATATGCAGTTATGTACAATAACATCAATCTGTTGTGATCAATGTTCTACCGCTTTATTTTTTATCTTAAGCCAATCAATAAAGCAAGCTTTTAATGAAACAGAAGTAGATTTCCTCTTTTAAGCAATTAATGATCATATTTATTTAACGTTTTAACGTTATATTTTATTGATATTATATTATCTTGCACAGTTCAACCAATGGTTTGGATCGAGAATCAGCTGGTCGGTGCTTACGAAGGACAAAGTCTTACGTTGGAATGTCATAGCGAAGCCCATCCCAGTCCCATTACCTACTGGACGAGGCCGTCGAATGAAACTATTGCAAATGGTGAGCAAACATTTTTGTTTGTTTAAATATACAGTGCTTTTTATTCTTATTAGCTATAAATAAAAGTAGTGAAAAGAAAAGGAATAATTAAATTAAATTGATTTTTGAAAAATTAACGTTCAAATTATCTGTCTCTTGGTGCTGTTATCAAGCGTAGCAAAGTATTTGAATTCGTTTTAATCATGACAGACGTGACTTATATATTGGTCTATTTAGAGCGAATCGAATAAAACGAACACAAATATATTTCGTACTATTATATCGTAGATTTTAAAATTATAATATCGAGACAGTATAATTCAATTCTCCATGTTACATTTATTACAAGAGAAAATTATATGCTTTTTAAAGTTAAACATTGACGTTTAATGAATTTCCAATTGTTAATTAATTTATCATTGAAGAATTCATGAATGACATTTATTGTTTGAAAAGAAGGAAAGATGAGAGTTTGAAACCAAGAGCGCGTTTTACTCCAATTTTAAATTGTTACAAGTCTTTTCTTTTTCTTTTTTCTGCTTTTTTTCATGCGCACGCTGGGAAGTGCACGCATGAGCAGCTGTAATGCAATTCGCCTTAATTACACCGCGCTAACGCGGTCGTTTCACTCTAATTGCTACCATGCACCTTTGCGATATGCACCGGAGGGTTAAGGGCAAGGGCAACGGCATTAAAACTTAAGACGTGTGCGTGCCATCTCGTGTCGGGTCGCTAATCCGTGAAAATACCTTCCGTCCAGGTTAAAATTTTTCCTTCCAAAGCGCTATAATAAAACGGTAGATTTGCAAATTAATTAAAAGTGTGGAATTGTTCTCGTGCAAAACGCAATTTTTATCTATTATCGCGATTTCGATTAGCATCGTAGGTTTTATCGAATGAGAGAAATATATAGCTATTGATGATACTTTTATATTAAATATTTTGCTTTGCATACACGTTTGTGTATATTATACATTTTTTTAATAATTTACGATTTAATAGAATTACTACCTTAGTATCACTTTATGTTGTATTAGAATAATACAATTTTAGAAGAAAACATTAAATAAAAGTATGTTTTTTTTCACAACAGTTTTATTATACACAGATACAATTATTTTCATCATCAGAAATACTCGAATTAGATATCCTTGTGACAAAATATTTTCAAATGTATCGTGTGTTATAGATTGTTGAATACGTGTTTATGGAATTGCATATTCTATTATAATGTAACAAATAAACTCTTACAATGCGAGTTTTTTATTGTTATGGACAATGAAATATATATTGATATGCACCGGTGAATTTTCTTTTAAAATGACATTTCTGCATCGACGATGTCGTAGCTTGGAACTAATAACATGAAAATCGACATATGCATCGTCTTCTACGCCAGAACAAAAACGACATTTGCACGAATAACATGGCCCGTTCCGTACTTTGCACGCTTCCATAATGTTTAAGCGGCTTGGAACGTAAATACGAAGTTTACTGCAGCATCGATCCAGAATTTTCTGTTATTCCGGGCTGCCATGGAAGCCTGTCTAGTTAGAGCTATTTTATTCGTGGCAATGAAACGAATTAGGTTTTTAACGAGAGACAAGTACAATTGCATAACGCGAAAAAGTCAGTTTTGCGCGACATATGCTTCCTGTTAACAACTTTTTGAATCATTGATTTCGATTAGAAAAAGCGATGCATTTTTCATCTAGATATGCGTTTGTGCTGGATTTTACAAGTTTTATTAACTATTATTAATTTTTTATTGCTCCCGACTGTTATAATAAGTTTGTTCTTCATAAACTGCGCATGTAATACTATATCAGAATTGACTGCAAATTTTTACGAAAATTAATAATTGTTCTAATATATTTTTAATTTATTGCGTTTGATGTATATACCGATATTTTTAACTTTTCAGACGAGAACTACAAAGTTGAAACAGTTTCTAAAGGATTATATGAAATGACGATGAAGCTCATCATAAAGTCTGTACGACCACAGGATTTTGGATCTTTTCGATGTGTGGCAACAAATTCCCTCGGAGAAACGGATGGAAAGATAAAACTTTATAGTGAGTATATATATATATATATATATATATATATATATATATATATATATATATATATATATAT